CCCCCCCATCCTGAAACCTTGGTAAATATTTCCATTTCATTGGGTAGAACCTAGTGCTGGCTGCATTAGACACAGTCTGTATTTCAGGAGCTCCCTAGAAGGCAGCTGATGGGGAATCTTCAGGTAAGCACACACTCATGTGTCGCTATCTTCTTACAGGAGGCGACAGAGATCGGATGACAGCAAATCATGAGAGCTACCTCCTCATGGCGAGCACCCAGAATGATATGGAAGACTGGGTGAAGTCCATCCGCCGAGTCATATGGGGACCTTTTGGAGGAGGTGAGTATATTTTTAAATCATGGGAAACAGAAAGGTAGACCAAACCTGTTCATCCTTCTCCCAGCTAATGTTATTATGAGCTCATTTTCAAATGGATGAATATTAAAATAAGTAGTAAACTATTTCATATTATGGTTCGATACATATCTAAGCCATGGCTGGAAGTTTAATTGAGATGAAATATCATTAATAACCAACCTTCCATGAATATCTTGAATTATAAAAACAGATTATATTTTTCTTTTATTTTGGATTGTTTTCATTTCACTAACAATAAATGTTATGAGACTGATACCATCGATGTAGATTAGTTAAGAACATGTAGCTATGAGGAAAAAAAAATGGACTAGCAGTTTTGGAAGAGATCCCAGCCTGCCAGATGCTCAGTGATATAACAAAGGAGTGGCAAAGCTTTGAATGAAAACCGGATGATTACTGGAATAAAAAAAGTGCTTTGTGATCAAGGAAGTGTTTGTGGATTTGATAACAAGTTTGTCAAAAATCTTAGTTAATACCATGCCGAGAATTCACCACTTGAAGAATGAACTAAGTGGTGCTATGAACAGAGCTAAAAGGAGGAAGGAAGAGTAACAGATGTGACTGTTGTCTATTAAGGAATATAAAACAGAGCAACATAGACAGAAAAATTATTCAAAGTAAACATTCAGGAAATGGAACCAATAAAACAAGAACCCCCAAAATATCCACCTATAATCAACATCTCTTTCCAAGAACGTACAGGCTAATTATTTCCTTCTGATGTAGTTTAAATAAGTTGTATTAAATCCAATTCATATTTAGTAAAACAATGACAATTTCCATATTTGTTTTATAGTCCTTTATGTATTGTCAGAACCCTGAATTCAAAAGTGAATTTTTCCCCCCTTTAACATATCAGAGGCTTCTTAGGCGGACTAATCACGTTCCAGTTTAGAAGAGCTAGAAAAGCTTCGTTTAAAAATTGAAAAGTTAGGCTCAGGTTAAAACAGTAAAGATTCACGAAGACATATTGATATTTTACCAGGGTAAGAATACATATCTGCAAATTGTTTGTTTTTTCTCACTATCTTCTGTTGAGGGGGAGAGTTGGTTCCAAACCAGGGTGACCCTTCACCCCAGTTTGCCTGGTAACAGTCTGGTTTACAACTGCTGTTCCAAGCTAATGATTGACAGTGCTGCCTCTCACTCGAGCAGTGTTTTAGTTTGGGTGACAACTTACACGTTACCCTATTCATAGACTAAAGTGGCTGGTAAGTGACTACAGAAAGCATCCAAAAAGGCCCATGAGGATGAGGCCCCCGCCCCAGGGCCTCACGTGACTCTCCATGGGAGATCCACACTTCGTTGCTAGAGGCTTGCTGGTACCTCCAGGGCCATGGATTTGTAGGGAGCCTGAGGACGTGTCTTTTCAAAGCTCCCGTTGTTTCTAAAACATTCGAAAAACAGAGGAGACCCTCTGTTACGAGATTTCTGTGGCTCCTTGATTCAGAAGAATCCTTAATATCTGCTGAATATTTTTGTTGAGGGATTATTTCCATCTAGTCTGCTATTTTCTCCCTTCCCTCCTCTTCTGTCTGTCCTTTCCTCCAGAAAAATGAATGAGATTCGGTAAGCTTCACAAAATCAGCAACCATAAGAGGTCCCATCAGCCCAGGAGTATCATAAATGATTCCAGTGGTACTGGGCAGAGGCTATCAATGAATCTTCAAATTTATGAACCTGGGGGGTATACTCTAGTAGATGATAGGTTTATGTACTTTATCCTACAGACTGTGCTTTAGGGATTTTGCAAATGCTTGATTCAAATTTACTTTTAAAGGGAGATCTTTTGGCACAGAGCACTTATAATAGAAACAATGCTCCAAAGAATAAATCTTCCGCCCTCTTTGTTTAAGTGAAGAGTATTATGGCAAAGCAAGCTTTTAAATTGCTCATTCAATTTGCAAGAAATCCTTTGTGATTTATCTAACCATCAGAATTTTCTAAAATTAATACAAAATATAGAACTGAACTAAATCTTGACATTGACAGGAGATTCCAACTGCCACCCATATTCGTGGGTCTCAAATGTTTGCATTAATATCATTCCCCTGTGCTTGCTGACTGAAGTTTAAAGAAATATTATAAATTTGAGTTTCAAATAATAAATTTATATGACTCAAAACCCTTTTATTTATCTCACATATTAAGATTTTACTTAACATTTCATTTTATTTTATTTTAAATATATCTTTATTGATTTCAGAGAGAGGAAGGTAGAGTGAGAGAGAGATAGAAACATCAATGATGAGAGTCATTGATTGGCTGCCTCCTGCACACCCCCTGCTCAGGATCAAGCCCGCAACCCAGGCATGGGCCCCAACCAGGAATCAAACCCTGATCACCTGGATCCTAGGTCGACGCTCAACCGCTGAGCCACGCCCGGCCGGGCAACCCCACATTTTATGACTTAATGGTTTAGGTCATTAAGACCCAGGGCGGAGGATTCATTTGACAAGTGTGACACTGGGCATAACAGGACTACGAAGAAAGCCCAGGTCTTCTGACCTGTGAGCTTCCTCCTGCCTTTTTAGCACAATAATGTGATGTCTTACTTCTACTGTAGGAGTAAAAACAAACAAGCAAGCAAACAAAAAGCCACAATTAGAAGTCCATGCCTCATTGATAGTATATTCTTCATTATATGAAAAACAAAAGATTTTTCTAAAGTGTGATGATTAGAATGAATAGAGTTTTTTAGTTCCTTTAAAAATACCTGAATTGACATCATCAAGAAAGTGAAAAAACAACCCACAGAATGGGAGGAAGCATTTGCAAATCATATATTGTGTCCAAAATATATACTGAACACTTGCAATTCAATAAGAAAGACAAACCAAAATTTTTATCCAGTTTGACTCAATTAAAAATGGGCAAAGAATCTAAATAAACATTCCTCCAAGGAAAATACACAAATGACCAATAATCACCTGAAAAGGTTCTTAATCCAAAAGCGGTATACAGTTATTCATCATTAGGGGTCTGCAAATCAAAAACACAGTGAGATACCACTTTGCACCCACTAGGATTGCTAGAATCAAAAAGTCCGATAGTAACAAGTGTTGGCAAGGATGTGTAGAAAGCAAAACCCTCCCACATTGGACATGTAAAATTGTGCAGCTGCTTTGAAAAGCAGTCTGTCAATTTCTAAAATAATTAAACATAGTTACAACAGGACCCAGTGTTTGCACTCCTAGGTATGTACTGAGGAGAAAAGAAAACATATCCATACAGAAACTAGTACATGAATATTTATAGCGGCATTATTCCTAATAGCCAAAAAGTGAAAACACTGAAATTTTCAAGAGTGGACAGTGGATAATCAAACTGTAGTACTGTCCATGGAATGGATTATTAGTCAGCCCGACCCAGGAATGAGGTCCTGACACATGCTATACCATAAATGAACCTTGAAAGCATTATGATGCTAAGTGAAAGAAGCCAGTCACAAAAGACCACATATCGTATGATCTCTTTCATATTAAATATAGCACTGGGAAACCTATAGAGACAGAGAGTAGATTAGTGGGTGCTTAGGGCTGGGATGGCAGGATAACGGGGGGTGGGAGGGGCGGAAATAGCCCAAAATATGGGATCTTTTTTTTGAGGTGATGATATTTTCTAAAATTAACTGTGATGATGGTTTCACGTATCTGTGAGGGTATACTAAAAACCATCTCATTGTAAACTTTAAATGGGGAAATCTATATCTCAATGAAGTGCTTTTAAAGAGTTCCTGAAGTGGCATAAGTACCTTACATAAGAGACCACATTACCCCCATCTTTGTATGGAACCTATGACCCTGTTAATTCCAAATAAAGACCTCTTGGCTTCCAACCTCCTTCCTTCCACCAAAAGATTGTTGTCATTATTGATTAAATGGCATCTGTAAGACATATCTCCCTGATTTATTGATTTCTGTATGCCGTCTGTTGCATACATTTTAAATGTGTCTATTACAGAGAGCGCATTTCATTGTCTGTATGGCAATTTCACAACCTGTGGGGTTTTTTCTTTGTTTTTTATTTTTTGTTTTGTTTTTTAAAAATATCTTTATTGATTTCAGAGAGAGGAAGGGAGAGGGAGAGAGAGGGATAGAAACATCAATGATGAGAGTCATTGATCGGCTGCCCCCTGCACGCCCCCGACTAGGGATCCAGCCTGCAACCCAGGCATGTGCCCTGACTGGGAATCGAACCTCGATCTCCTGGATCCTAGGTCGATGCTCAACTGCTGAGCCACGCCCAGTCGGGCACAACCTGTGTTTTTTAAAAGTTAAAGTTTTTCATGAGGCACCTAAGCTTAGCTTTGTTCAGTTTGTACATACATGTAAAATATTCCCTCCTTACCATTCCAATAATAGACACTTGATTAAAACAGAGGGGAAACCTGAGGAGCTTACCTAGCTTTTCAATCTCTAGAAATTAAAAACTGTTAAGTGAAAAAAAAAAAATAGAGCTTTTCTTTTTATTAAATAAGGAAAACTTAGACAACAACTAATCAGATGGAGAAAGAGAATCGATGGAATGGTGAAGTAGCCCTCCTCTCTTAACAGCCTAGCCTGATAACAAAGTTTGGTATTGAATGTAGATACCTCAACTTTGTGTGATCTGCTTTAAACCACCCATAAACTGTGGATTCCCTATTAACAATGCTGACTGACAGTCACATCATTTCTGCCTGACAGTCAAACCTAAAAGTTGGGATGTCAAAATATTTATTTAGCTTTGGAAAAGTTTAGGAGTTTTGTTTCTGTTTTGTTTATTTTTGGTTTTTGTTTTACACTGGGTTTCTTTTCCATTGTTTTTGAAGCAGTGCATATAGAAGTGCCTCGCCCAGGTTCTGGGGAGAGGGAGAAGCCATTAATTGTTTATGAGACCTGAGTGGTTAGCCTAACTAATCTACGAATAAAATCAGGTTCTCCCTGGCCAGTGTGGCTCGGTTGGTTGGGCACCGATCT